TATTGTAACTTGCCTCGAGGAGAGCTTCACAGTTTCCACAGCAACTACATCTCTCACAGCTCTCTGTGAAACACTGTACACCACACAGGTATCCACTTGTCTCCTTACCATTACCAGGAAAGACTGATGTGATGGTGGAGACCAGCCATTACCAAAGACTGGGTAAAAAAATAAATAAAAGGATCAATTAGCAGAATTTCTTCCACTGTTTATTCAACAGTTATATCTGCAGTACACCTTTGAGCCACATGAGGGAGACTGATTGTTTGTATTGCTCTGATAATTATAGTGAACTTCTAACATTGAATCTATTATGTATGTAACATGTGTATATGTTTTCAACAACACATGCATAAAACAAAGTTGTGATTTCTAAAACGTACATGTCAGCGTACCGACTAAAGATAATGTAAGGTGATGAGGCGATAGCAGTACAGACGGTCAGGAATGTTCATTTACGCACAAATTCGCTCTTCTTACCAGTTATAGATCAGGCTTATTGTGAAGTGGGTCGCGATGGTTTGTCATTTTTAAAAAGTGGGTCTCCAGAAAATATGTTTGTTAAACACTGGTACAAACGGTATTGACGGAGGGTGAATAAGAATGGAAGAGGTAAGGAGTATAACGATATGCAGCCTGAGACTTAAGTCCCCATTGTTGGTGAAGCATGAGTTTCTATTCTCACACGGACCGTCTGTCTGTCTGCCTGTCTGCTCACATGATATTTGCCGCTTCTGTTGCCACATCTAGTCTTTTCTGTACAATTAAACTGTACAAGGCAGGATATGCAGCCAAGAAACAGTTCAAAATAGATCTGAATATGAATCAGCTTTATTGTTTATTGGCCATGTATGTGTACACATTAATAGATATCTGAAACAAGGACAATAAAGGTAAAACTTAAACATGAAATACATACACACACGTGTATATACGTATGTGTATATATATATATATATATATACTGTATATATATATACACACACATATCTATCTATCTATCTATCTATCTATCTATCTATCTATCTATCTATCTATCTATCTATATGTATGATATGTGACGTGTCAAAAAACTGGTTGGTATTTAATCTTTAAAAACGAATAATTTAACCAGTAGAGTGGTTTCAGGCATTAGAAATCAGATGAAACCTGACAGCACCGTGACGCATCAAATCCAACTGTAAAGCCTGCCAATCCTTCTGCCTTCACGTGTAATATGCATGCTAATAAAAATATATTATTAATATATTAAGTGTAAAATCCTGAGTGCCTCATTGTGATGAATAGGACCTTCTGCAGAAAGAGCCAGGGCCATTGGTCAGTCCTCTCTCACTTTACAACTGATACTTGAGAATATGTATCTTCATGAATCCCGAGTAACATGTGACTAAATATAAATGACAAAACATTTTTTTTTCCCTTTGCACACACCGTATGAAGCCATGAACACTCACTGCACTCGAGAAAGGCAAAAAACACCACCCACGTACACTTGCCTCCCACACACACACATCCATCACTTACATCTAGCTACACTGCATCACAGTAATCATCAGAACTGTTAGCAATATGCTAAATCTGGCCAGAATTAAACACCGTTTAATCCACTACGTATCTTGTGATAGAGATTATAAAGGAGAGCGAGACTGGGCTTTTGAGAAAATGGCAGCTGCAGCTTCACTATATTTCTTTCTCGAAAGTCATGCTGAGTCCAGAGAGGATAAACTACCTCCCATCACATCACACAGACTGTTCGGAGCAGGTCAGTACAGCTGAGCATATACCCACACATTCGCCTGGGGCCAGTTCATTTCTCCAAGCTGCATCTGCGCTATCTCAGCTACTAAGCGATGTAAAAAACGCAAGTCCAAATCAACATACATTGGGAGCTCTTTATTAGCGTAGAGAAAGAATTTTATAATCAACCCAATCAGGGACAAATCTGTGCTTCAGTTACTCGAGCAGGAATAAGAGCGGGTGAGCAGAGAAGGGGAAGAGAAAGAGAATAGCACAAAAGTAATTTCTGCAGCTTCTCTGAGTCATATCTGCAGCAGTGGGAAACAGAAGCAGCGAGGGGGAGAGCGTGAGTGTGTGTACGTGGGTATGTGAGAGAGAGTTTTAAAAAGAGAGATAGGAAGAGAGAGAGAGGGGGGGGGGAGGAGATAGGGGTTGTAAAGGGGATGGGGTTATGTGTAGTCGAGCTACACATAATGAGGCTCCTTCTGAAACAAAAGTCCATTACCGTTCTCCATATTGCCTGAATTAATGTCAATTTCCCAGAGAGGGGTACAGCTCATGCCCACAACGCCCCGAGCTGATAGGGAGATGGATGGAATAAAGAGACGGGGCGGGAACACAAGCACCTTCACGGGGCTCTTTGGAGCCTCTGAACAACTCCTCATTGTGACAGAGAGAGCCAAGTGAAGAATGGAAAAGATCGCTCGGGTCCTCTTCTTCTTTTTCTTTTTTTTTTATGCCTTTACGTAATAATACCGCTCTGAGTATCGCCACCACTGGGGCTGTCGCCAAGACCTCTAGCTTCCCATGAGGACGGCTGCACGCAGCGCACACTGAAGGATGCGACCTCTCAGAGAGGACTGTCACATCGCTGTAACATGACAGCCTGCACGGCCGGCTGCAGGGTCACATTACCTGTCTATTAATGGACATCCCAGGTGATGTCCTACAGTGTACACGTATACACACTCACCAAAAAATAAATGGTAAAAAAGACACACCAAAGACACTTATATATACACACACAGCAGTAATTATCACCCTTGGGCCAGTGGTAATTACACTCTGGTCACACTAATTAATCTCTCATGCACTCTGTGTGTACTTGCCAGCCTCTTTCACACATTTTATACCAGCACATACATTATACACACACACACACACACACACACACACACACACACACACACACACAGGCTCATCCGAAACACACTTGCGTGACCTCTCCCAAAATAACAACAACAAAAAAACATCTGCCATGCTCACAGCGAATCGTGGCAATGCCCTCCAACCTGCTGCTTCTTGGAGGAGGGACTTGATGATCAAAAAGGGTTCCTCCCCAAGGCCTCAGACTCGCATTGTTCACACGACCATTAACAGGAGGAGAGGAAGGAAACAGGGTAGCATTTGAGACAGCTGTTTGCAGCGTGTGCTGCGAGAGGAGAGGAGTGACTTTGTTTTGATGCAGTTAATGCATCGCATGGGCTGAAAAAAAAAGAAAAAAAAATGGGGACAGTTTATTCAGTTTCTGCATCCGAAATAAAAGTTGTGGGTTATGTGAGGAACAGAGAGCGCAGGGCAGAGATGAGGAATCCTGCTGGAGGATCAAAAACAAAGGCCCTCTCCGGCCCCCGACTCCCCTCTCCTCCCTTGCTCTCTCTCTCTCCAACGCACCCTGTTGACAGATGGAGAATCAGTGTGTGTGTTCCACCATTTCTCTTTTAGACTGAGGCACACTGAGTAAGGTCACCCAGTCGCTTTCCTCACCCTTCTCATACACCCCCCCCCCCCCCCCGTCCCTCTCCCACATCTTCCTTCTGTCTCCTCCTCTGATCTGAGCCATATTTAGAGCATCGCGGCCGCTGACGGTGACGAATCTCGTGTTCGAATCTGATCCGCAATCAAGAGGAGACGGTTCTGTCGCTGACCTAAGCTAATAGGCCAGTTTTGGTTTCGGCTGAGTCACAGCCAGACAGGGACAATATGGCTCTGCTGTGCGGGTGACTGTTTATTAAATGTGGCACTTCATATGATACGCTTGTCTGAGCCTGGATGCAAAGCCATGCAACAACCGCTACGGGCAATTAACAAGGAGGCGGGGGGGGATAGCAAGATCTTCTACATTCACAATTCATTACTGTATTTAACACCTACATAAATAACTAATATGTGCTTCTGTGTAATGACTAAGTCCTCCCCAGGGAGGATGGGAGGGGGGCCGGAGAGGCAGACAGCGGAGGAAAAGACAACTGTGATCGATAAGGGATTTGGTGAAGTCTGAATTAATCACTGACAAGACCATTGGGGCCATAAGAAAACAGATAGTGAGCGAAATCCAGTAATAATTGCTGAGATTACTTGTAGAGAGATGCTATATACTGCTATATGCAGATATGCGAAAAAGGACCAATGGTTTCTGTCGCTGCGACTGCAACAATATACTTCACTGTGTACTTTTTTTTTTCTCGCATGAATTGCTGCCTACTCACAAAGCCTAATGCTTCCTGAACAAAAGCCGACTATATCTGTGCGTGTGCGTGGTTAAGTAAAAGCGAGGACAGATGCACTTGCTGTTTGCCAAAGCTTGTGTTTGCAGCACTCTAACTTCAGGTCAGCCTTGAGTTTGGGGAGGGGGGGGGGGGATCTCTCTTAGAACCAACTAGCCTACAGTTCAGAGTGAAGAGGAAAAGAAAAACACACTTTTAGAAAACAGTGGGCGGTTATTTAATACGTAAGGGCTTCACTGGTCCAGAAAGTTCAGATCACCGTAGAAAAGACCCATAACCCTCCAACCTGGACTGGAGTGTTCCTCACCGTACTACTATGAGACTCCTACGCACCTCACATGATGCACTGTGATCATTACACTAATCAAACCCTCTGCAGGCAAGAAATCACACACACACACACACACACACACACACCACCGTGAAATGGACACCTTGAGCACATATCACTCTACCCATAATCCTCCAGCGCGCTGCAGAATTCCTCATGGTGGTGTATTAAAAAAAAACCCTTCTTAGGTTTAGACCCATTACTGTGAGGATTATCTCTGATGACTAGAAAAGGCTGCGGCTTCATTTCGTGGGCTTAGCGTGTACGTGTTACACATGTGTCACACATTGGGTGGTCATCACTACAATTTAAAGCAACCAGGACGAGACTGATGACTTTTCTTTCAGATGACCTGAAGCCACGCTCACCGTTCATTGGGAGATCAAACGGATAGAGAAGACCTCTGATTTTAGGAAATAACTTACTTTCTCCGTATGGTGGAGCTGGTGTTGGTGTCCGTGCTGTCGGTGCGTTCAAGCCGGTCTCGCTCGGTGGTTGAGGAGCTGCAGGAGAGACCTCGGGTCAGCTTGGTGTGGGTCCTCCTCCCCCTGCTGGGTCCTGGAGTCGTGGGCGACGCAGCAGTCGCCTGAGCCGTCGAGGTGCTACCGTTCCCGCTGCCGCCACTGCCATGATGGAGGGGGAGGGACAGAGGCTGGCTGTGGTTGTGGTTCTGCTCGGGAGTGTCCAAACCCGGCGTCCGTGGGCTGCGATCCTGCCTCAGATCCTGGTTCTCCTGGCTGACCCGGTCCAGCTGGCCCTCCAGATCCTCGATGCGCCGGCGCTGGGTCTCCAGGAGCTTGGCCTGGCTCTCGATGATGTTGTTGAGCTCCAGGAGGTACTCCACTGCCCGGTTGGGGCTCTCCGGGCTGGTCTCCATGGTGGGAGCCCTGCCTCTAGTGGTATGACCACCACCGGCCACCACCACAGTTTCGACCCCGTGGGGGCCGAGATCCACCCCCCCCACCAGCCCTGATGAGTGGGGGGGAGGGAGGGACCAACGAAGTTTCTAGTGAAGATTAACTAATGGCTTCATATGTTCAGAAACAGAAAGTCACAGAGATTAAGAGGTTGAGGATTTGAGAATGACTACATATCCCCAAATCCGAGGGCAAAAATGAGCATTACAGCATCTTAGTGGCCATTGAAAACATTGCACTGCCGAGAATAGAGTTCAAAGCTCATAAAGAAGCTCAACACACTGTTGATTGTTTGTTTTCCTGAAGTCACAGTCATTTTCAAAGACCCTGCCAGATCAGCATGGAGCAGATCAAGAGTTTGGGGCGTCATGATGAATATTAACTCATGAAGCAAAAATATTCCAAAACAGACTGAGACTGGATGGGGGAGGGAGTGACGGAGGTAAGTACAGTCTAAATAAGGCTGATCAGAGATCTGTAATGAACTTAAACTTGCTTTAATGGCTCTCTGAGCAAAACAAAACACGTTATATCCACTCATCTGTGACATACCCTACTTATTAACTTTAAGAGCAGCTTTTAGCTCATTAGAGAACATCTCATATGCATCAAGCACTCTTTAGCCTCCTCGACATGCAGGGGGAGGGGAGGGGGGGGGGGGGTAATGGGGAGGTGATGTTGTTTATGATCTACCTCTAATAATCAGGCACTGTCAATCATTACATAAGACAGAAAATGCTGCTCCCTCCCACGTTGAATATCCCCGCAGTCTATCATCGTCGCTTTCAACCCATGGCTCGATGTGTCTTTACAGCCCAGAAAGTAAGCAGAGGTGGCTCTCGAAGTTCATTCCCGGGGTCCAGATCCTCTCCTCTGGTCCAACAAAAAACTACATCCTAGTGCTTTACATTCAGATTAGTTCCCAAAGTGTGCGCGTGTCTCTGGGCTTTTTCATCCAAGAATAATGCAGAGTTTACTTCCACGTCACGCATTCATAAACACTGTGCTTGGAGATTTAAAAAGAAAACAACTTAAAAACCAACAACTGTTCAGAATATAATTGACTGCCCGAAAGTCTCAATTGGCTGTGCCTAAATCTTTGAAGTGTACTTTGGATCTGGAATCGGTTTAAACGGCCAGGTTGAGTTATTTCCTACTTATCTGAGAGGAGTTTCGGCCGCTTCAGGAAGGTAATCCATGAAGGAGTGCAGCGGGGAATCTTCTTTGCGGTGGCGCAGAAACACACGCGGAGGTTTCGCTTCTCGAGCGTCTGAACTGCAGCGAATCTGTGCGCCGTTTCCTCTGAGCGCATCAGAGTCAAGGTGGCCCGAATGACATAGAGCATCCGGCCAAGAGTTTCAAAATAAAGGAGTAACTTCATGAACGTTATACAGCAAGTGAAAAAGAAATGCTGCACTTACAGGGAAATATTAATGAAACCCTAAACAGCGAGTGAATGGATCAATACAAAAAAGTTTTTGTTATTGTGTCATCCATACTGCCTGCATTTTTTTTAATGTCACAGCCTCCCAATACCGCTTTGTTATGGGGTACACTTCAATCTTTACTACAAAAGGACCTTTCATATCATGTAAGGTACTAATTTATGGAGCTGCTCTCCATTGCTTGGATTCATGTGAAATGTCAGGCTAATTAATGGATGAATAAATGGATTACACTATATTAAATGGTCTTGATTGCCTACCTCCTCCATGGTAAACGTTAGTTTCGTCTGGCTTTTAATTTGAGCCAATTTTACCTTTTACCATTGAAGACTTTTCACAGAAAGAGACATCTTTATGAAAGGGGGCTGACAGAAACACAAACAACCCAGATTGAACTCTTCAGACTACACTTTCTCTACCAGCTAAGCTATAAGTAGCATGAGGAGAGAACTGAATCTCACACAGTGAAGAAAAAGACGTCAGTTTGTCAGTGAGAGTTTGTTTTAGTGTGGACATGTTTCACTCTGTAAGTTTTGTGTTGACATAGTATATCAAATGCAGTATGCTGAAAAGTACTGTCCTACTCCATCTGGTTGCATTTTTAAATATGCAAGCCAGCATGCTTTTCTATTCTGATCCACAATCCTTTGCGCAGCGGCTATATGGACAAGAGGGTCAAAGATCAAGCTTCAATGCTAAGTGGATGCATACTGCAGGCAACCCTACGTACTTTGTGAGGGCGGCTGCAGTTGGCTACTTACTAAATGTTTTTTTAAAAAGGCAGTATTTGTTTCTCTGCAGGTTGATGAAGAAGAAGTTATTTCAGCTTGATTCTGATCTTCTGATCTTCGGCTCTTCATAGTGATTGGCACCGGAGATGTTCCAGTGGTTAAGGACTTTGACAGGAAACATTGGCACATGGGTTTGGAACTTAACTGAGGAACATGTGTGATGAGCGTGTGTGTGAATCTCATACATTCATGGTTTTATGTCAATTTGAACTTGCGTATTTCCGATCATCAACCAACGAGGAGGAAACCGAGAACACATAGGACCAAATGAGTCTCAGTGTTAAAGCTAGCTAACATAGCAAGGCAGCCAGCATTTTGGCTACTTTTGTTATCATTTACATTATCTGCAGTGTTTTAGTATGTTGAACTGACACTGAAGAGTGATAAAGCTGATCATGTGACCTTGAGCTGCAAATTTACATGTTATACAGCAAACCTGCCTCAGCATCATGCTTTCTGTGAAAATTGGTAAAAAATTTGACCTTAGAACTTTCCCCTTAAATGTTTAAAATAACATCTCACCGGGTTCATACTGAAGTGCTATGTCAGGTGTCACTCGAGCAGTAACCTGGCTGCTCACAACAGAAGCACATTTCTCTGCTCCGGTCAACAAGGGATTCGGCTTCTCTGCTGTTTTCTATAGAACTCTCTGTGTCTGTCTCTCTGTGTCTGTATGCCACGCAGTGCCATAAAGGCTGCCCTACATGTTAGAAATCGTTCTACGTGCTGGCGCCCAACCGTATGCAGCTGGTGCCCTTTTTCATTTATTTCCACCCATGTCCCTCAGACAGCCTGAGTCCACCACTGGCTCACAGTCATTTCCCATAAATGACTCTCCACACATCATACATTTCATCATTAGGTTAACGCGCCAATTTAGGGACACCAGTTAATCCAAATTACTGGTGGGGGGTTTAGTTTAGTTATGTTTATTTTATTTTGCACAATTTAAAAAATACAAAAACATAACAGAGATAAATAATATTACATTGTGTGCGTACATACAGTATGTGTGCATGTGGGTTCCTGAGAGTAAATGTGGGCTTGTGTTTGTTCAGGGGATATTGGTTTATACATTAACTCCTAATGCTACAAGTCCCTATAGTGAAACAGCTATAGATATAATATACAACCTAAAACAATGAATACATAGAAAATAATTCATAAAGAATGCAATTACAAAACAACAAATAAATGGTCTTTTAAGCATCTTTTGAAACATTTTATGGAGGGGGGGGGGCAATTGCTCAATAGAATACAGACCTTGTGGCCAAGTGTACAAATGGCATTTTATTCTGAAGGTACAATCTCATGTTGCATCTTTGTAACTTCGCAGGCCGCAGGGACCGTGTTGATGCTGGAATCAGGAGTGCACATGTAGAAAACAATAGACTAAACGCTGAAATGCGATGCGTGTGAGGCAGTGAAAGTCACTCATTCTGCTCTGTTTAACAATTCTCTGTAATTTATATTCATATGATCATGACCTGAAGTCGCTTGAGTAGTTCATGTCTACTTATTTATCTGGCTCGACATCGTGTGAATGCAGCTGCACTGGGAGCAGCGCTGTTATTACTGCCGTGATTTTTTTTTTTGACGTCTGCGCTAACACGAGCAGAAGGATGCGGCTTTAGGACAACATGGGAGGAAGGAAGGCCTCGGAGCGCGATGTTATTTTTAGTAACGGTACTTAAGTGCTCATATCTGAACGGAGACTATAAATTCACCCGCTTCTCTCTCTCACTCTGTATCTGTAGCTCACACAGGTGATGCTGCTCTGCTGTACGGCACAGGGAACTAATATTAGACTGAGTGGTGAGCGTGCATGGGAAATGTAGAAAACATGTTCTTGCAAAAAGCAGGTTTAATACATTCTGTGGGAAAAATGATCTGATTTTTATGCCAGCCAACCGACCGAGGACAGAGTTTTAAAATCTGTTATTTCTTATTCTCGGGCACGCCTTCCATTCTGTTTAGTGAATATACAGCATATTTCATAAGCTCGGTCTCTTTCTCTCTCTCTCTCTCTCACTCTCTCTCTCTCACACACACACACTCTCACACACACACACACACACACATATACATATATATATATATATATATACATTCATCGTCAAACCCCATCACTCCTACATATACTGCAGCCCATCATTTTGCTGCCATCTGCTGTCCACTACTGTTTCTCTTCTGCTCTTCAAAAATAATGAGCAATGGAAGAAAGAACACGCACGACCACCGAGGAAATTAGTTCAGCAGTTTATTTGCAGTTTCATTCCAATGTGTTTACAGTTCGGCCATATAATCCAATTCAGGAAATGAAAGTCTAAAAAAAGAACATTAGCAAACGTTATAAAATAAGTCTGACGTATAGGCTACCACGCTCTGTATGGTCACTGGCTGGGGCGAGTACAGTATGTTTCCTCCACTTCTGGGCTCAACGAATGGGCTGGGCTCAACGAATGGGCTGGGCACACCGAGCAATTCATTTTGGGTAAAATCTGAAATTCACTGGCTGGTAACAAACATCCGTTAACAGTCTGTGTCTCCTAAAGCTGCCATAAGGAATCAACATAACATTGCTTTAACGTCTAAATGATACTTATCTACTCTCACGTGCTGTGAACATGGCGTCACTTTTGTAGCTTTTCTTCCTAATGGCTTATCTAGAGCAAAGTATCTGAAAACCTGAGTATTTCAAAAAAGATAATTTCATAGAAAAATAACATCTCACAGTATGCATTCAGCCTGGTTTTTGTTTTTACTCTGTAACATAATTTTTTTTTTTAAAAGAGAGCAAAACAAAACGATTTGCTATTTTAGATGCAACACTGAGCTCAAATTCTGCAGAGGATTATGATTACAATTGTTTTTGTGGATTTACAGTAAGGGCCTTATTAGAGACCTCAGAGCTGGGGGGGGGGGGGGGGGGGGGG